TCCACGTTTTCATCTTGTTGCTGTTCCCTCTCATCGGCATCCTCTGGAGAATTTTCTGTTATTGAAATAAATCAGAATTATGCCCAGCGCAAAGGTTGGAATCATCTTCAATGTAACACTTAACACAATTTGCTCAGTGAAAAATTCACCTGTCGATTAATGAGCGGCGTACAGGCTAAAAACATTGAAAGTGACAAAAAGCCATGGAAATCAACATCTACGCCGCCATCTTGACCTACAGACTGGATGAAGTTCCTTCATCTCAAACACAAAATGTGGCTAAAAGTTTGGTTTTCAGGAAAAGAAAAAACGCACCATCTCACATGTATTTACATGACATATGTAAGAACTTTCGAACACGCAGAAGAAAAGCGCCGAGCAAGTTCACCTACCTGAAAGTACCTTATCCAAAGCTCAAACGTGGACCACAAACGGCAAACGTGACCGCTATAGTCTGGTCACGTGGCTCCTGGCGGTTTGCGGTCACACACATTCACAAACAAACATGGATCTAAAACTCTCTAATTTGTTGCGAGGAGACAGATTTCCTTACAATATACGCTGAACATTTCAAAGTTAAGTTAAATTATTATCCAAATTCAAACCTCTTCTAGCTCCTCCTTTTCTGTTTTGGCGCGTTCCTCGGTGCCATCTTTCTCCACAAGGGTCATGTTCACTGAGTTCCTCTCGCAGTTCCTGGATGACAAGTTCCAACTCCAGCATTTTGGATTGTGTCGATTCAAGCTGTCCTTTCCACTGCTTGGCGTGTTCCAGTTCTTTCCGTGTAGCTTCAAGTTCTCGCCCGGCAACTATTGCTCGTTCTTTTTCTTTAACCTATAAAAAGGAACAGACGGTAAAGTATATCAAATCATAGTACTGAATAATTGAATCAAATATATGAAATTCTTCTAAGTTCCATGGTGAGAGATTCCATGAGATTTCAAAGCAAATCGGAAATGAAGAAAAAGCAACGTGCCACTTAAATGGTCTAGTGTACATGTAAGGAAATTACACTTTACAGAGATGAAAGTGGCGAGCTTGCATAACTTGAATTTCGGGCAATAGGTTTGTTATAAAAGCGGGCAATACAGCATTCAGATGACCAGCCTGCGGTTTAGAAGATATCATCTAGGTTCACTGAAGCCCTGCTTGCTGCTGATACAGATGCAACCCTTGCGCTGCGTACAGAGTATTTGGTTACATCAATACCAGCTAAAGTCATAGTGGATCGTACCCACCTTGTCACAGTGTCCCTACTTACTGGCTAATGAGGTTGAACATAACTTATTAACAACTGCGATTGGTTGATTGCATTTAACCAATTGCATTGGTTCGGACGAGATATTCCTTAAGAGTAGTGACAAGACATACAAAGGATTGTTTGTACGGTTCAAGGACAACCTGAGGGTTAGGTATCCTTGGCTTAATTTGTTTGAGATACTTTGGAATGACAAATGAGTGTTTTTCACCACTCACAAACATGTGATTTATGTCTAATAAATAAATAGTCAAGCCTCGCTGGCTGGATACTAATAACAACAGCATAACAAGTTTTAATGTGAGTTGTTTAAGTGTTAATGATTCAACAGGATGAAGAGTAGTCAGTCAGGTAAGTTCACACCACTTGGACATCCCCAACCTCTGTGTACTTGGGCTTGGGTGGCCTTAACTGAAAAACACCTTTTACCAGACGACAAACCAGCGGGTCATGTTCAACCATATAGCCATCATCCAGAGAGACATAAGAAGAAAGTGCCCCTCTAGCAGAGTTAATAGCACTGTAACTGAGCCCTTGGTTATAAAGTTCTGAAAGAAAATCTAAAACTTCTCTTATAGGTGGTTGAAGATTATCGACTTTCTTTTGGAGACAAAATGCTGTCCAGTTTTTTGTGTACACCGAGTAATGTTTTGTGGTACCACCTCGCCGATATGCCATAAGCAATCCAACAGCTAACTTCGATACTCCTCATAGTATTTCCTGACAACAGACATGCCATCAGTCTCATTTGGTTACATAGAGAGTTACTATAGAGGATGCATCGCAGCCGTTGTTTGCTCTCGTCATACAACGCCTTCTATTTCCCGTTTGAGAGAGAACACATTGCGTGACGAGACCAAATGACGGTTGCGAATGAGACTACGCTCACTGCCGTTCCTCCAACACAGATAAAACCAAATTTATTCGTCTACATTTAGTTATCTCAAATTTTGCACGAAAAGAAAGCTGAAACTCTGTTGTACCTCTCATAGACCCTAACCAAAGATATATTGCGATCTCGAATAAGTGAAGATACATTGAACAAGAGAAAAGGATAATATTTCAAAGAGGGCTCCTTGATTGGTTGTTGCCTATCTGGACTTTGCCCTCTGTGTGTGAAATACGTGATTAAATGCAGGTTTTTTTACAAGGAATGAACACGCAATTAGGTTAAGTCCAAGGTAACTTAAAGCGACTTTAACTCATAAACAAAGTTAAATTTGGAAGAATTGTGTAAAATTCAATGTCAGTAGCATTTGGTTCCATGTGGAAATTTTTCAGTGGGGTTGGACAATGCGGTTAGAATATGTGATAAACAGCCGTTAGTTGCTTTCAAGGAAATGACACATGATAGAACAACGTCTTATGTAGCAAAAATTGCTAACTGTTCGTGTAGTGCAATGATTGTGCATGTTCTGATTGGGCTTTGGACGTTATTTTCATGGTACGTGGTAAAATGTAAGTTGTTTGGCGTGTGCGTTGCGAGTAAAGGAGCGGAAAAACACGTTTCAACGTAAAAATTATACAACAAAATTAAATGCAGACTTTCATATCCCGATAAATTTCGACCTTAACCGACGAGGCTCTCGCGAAGGCCACAAACCATTACACTTAACAAATGAGCCCAAAATTTCTGGTTCATGTCATTCTTTGTGCACAGCCCCCTGATCCATGACATCATTTGCAAGAAAAAAATACCCAAACGTTAAGATTGGTGCAAGATATTCAAATGCTGTTTTATGACTGGTGCGAGATACATACCCTAATGTGGCAATCTGATTGGTGCGAGATACATACCCTAAAGCGGCGATCTAATTGGTGCGAGCAACATACCACTCTCTACACTAACATAGAGTTATTTATTTTTATAAAAAAAAAACTCAAAAAGGGGTCCATGCTGGACAGCAGGCAGACTGGATACCAAAAGCCCAATGACTCGTGTAACTTCTGTAATGGAAATTAAACTTTCCTTTAATAGTTGCTAGCTGGCCAAATTTATTCTTTCGGTTCTATGAAATATTTTCATGTTGACGGAGTCTAAGATGAAGCCAAGAAATGACAGTTTCATGACATGGTAGCACCACTGACTTTCCACGATTAATAAGGAATCCTAGAGACTCAAATAGTTTTAGAGCAGTAGGAATGTTATTTTTGCATTCTATCTCTGAGTCTCCCTGTTAATGAATCGTCAATATGTCCAACATTCAAAGAGACATAGCTACGCAAAGTGCAATACACTGGTTTCAATAATTTGGTTAAATATCTTGGCGCCGAAGCTAGACCATTAGGTGGACATGTGTATTGAAACAACCAACTTCTCCAGAGAAATTGTACATATTTTCTGGCTCAACAGCCACAGGAACAGTGTAGTAGGTATCTGTTAGGTCTATGGAAGCCATAAAACAGTTTTTCTTCATTAACTGTATAGCACATGCTAAGCTCTCCATTTTAAAATGCTGGTACTCGATGGGTGCATTAAGGAGAACTGAAGTCCAAATTCATGTGATTTTTTTTTACTGTGTATCATGTATTTATGTATGATTGAACAAATTTCCTTCATTTTTTTTCCTCGAACGATAGTTTTCATCCAGAAAACGAAGGGTTTTTGGTGATAATAATATTTTATTGGCTCGATATTTGACCGTGGTACGTCGGCTCAGAACACGAATGTCAGCGGTTCTTTTTATAGCGTGTGACGTAGGTTATGGGGATGAAGGTAAACGGGGCAAAAAAAAGGGGAGAGTTGAATTTAGGACTGCGGTTTGCTCTTGGGAAAGAATGGGTGGTTTTCCAGGGGCAAAGATTGTGCGAGGTGAAGCAAAAAATTATTTAAGCGCCTCTCCTATTAGAAAATTTGTCTTCTATCCAGGGATTGCATAAGAAAAAAATATTTAGGCTTTCGTAACACGATGTCGCTGAAACGTAGTTACATGTCCAGATCATTTGCGACACATCTCTTATACTTGGCCTGACCTCGATGTTTTCGAAGAAGGGTCTCCACATTAATTTTTCTAACAGACTGGTAATTTAAGATATTTCATCTTCCATTCTCTTTCCAAGTTTTGTTAGATTACATTCGTCTGCAACGCGTTTGTAGTCCGGATTTGCAATGACATGTACTATAACGCACGCTGCTAACAATGTCGTAAGAAGTCCAAAAGGAAATAAAATTTTGAAATTCGTGTTGAACTTTGGTTTATAAGTTCTCTATAATGAGTTAAATTCTTGGCTTACGCAAGAAAGGATATACCAATGCAGAAGCCTGAGTTGTTTGAGTTTATTCTTCTCTCTGTTCTTGACGATTGACTAGCCCTCGCTGCTACATTTATTTTGATTACTCTCGAGCTAAAAAAGGATATATTGCGCGGTGTTCGATTGTAACAGTGACTCAAGGTATAAAACTAGTATATCCTACCACTGCTTTTCGGAGGGATGAAGCTCTACGACCTAAGTGTCTGGCAAAGATCTCACGAGCGTATCTCGTCGTTTCGTAAAACTCCAGGCTGTGCTCAGCACATTTCACAACTGACTGCTTCGAACGAGACTTGAAAGCAGAAATTCTTGGTTTGAAACCCAGATCTACGCTTAAATATGGTGCAATATCCACTATTTTTTGGCATCGTAGACCATCGAAAAGACTTCGACTATCATCAGGGAAACGTTCAGAAGAGAAAGCCAGAAAAGAGGAAACTGAATCGTGAATTACTGTCTTACAGCTGGCTTTGGTTGTTGCAAACTCCTAAGGCTGCTTATCATTGATGCATGATTGATAGAAAAATTGAAAGGTGAATGCTGTTTGTGGGCAATAACAATTTATATCTTAAAGGGGTATCACCCGATTAGATTCCATTGAGAAACCTAAGGTTTTCACAGAAAAGTATTTTTTCTCATTAAGCAAAACAAATTCCTTCTAGTTTCATGTCTTTGACCAGTAAGTAAACAAAATTGTTTCAGAATAAAAAATGATTATTCTTAATTCTTGTAACGTTTTACCAGTCCCTTGTTACCCAACAGGTAAACAAAATTAGGACAAGTAGACTTAATATAAATTGTGGATATCATCTTATGAACTTTTTGAACCTTCTTTACTTCTGTGTGAATAAAACTTAATACACCTGGAAATTCTAAGTTAAAACCTTTTGAATTAATCCACTGCAGGCTTTCAACAAAAGGAGGGCTGAGTCAGGTGTTAAATTTTCCAAGAAAACCTCATTGTATTATTGCCATAACCATATGGTAGCATAGTTTATCCCCACACCTACATTTTTCATTCTCTCAAAGTAGCACTAACCCATACCATAACAGAGTTAATTTTTTTTCAGTTATAGTATATAGCCTCTCTAACTGCACAACCTAGTTGTGGAATCGAAGAGTATGCAGCTTCAGCTTTGGAATAGTCTCTTTCTTTTGATGTAGTAAATTAAGGAGTAAGTACATCAAACTCAGTCAGCACATTCTATCCATTCCCAGATGATTTAGAGCCAACCAGTATGTTGGTTGAGTCACATGCAGTGCAAGTGAATTTGCCGAATAAGGGTGTGGATTTTGGAATCCAAGTCAATCTTCGTGGTCTCTATTTGATGATAAAATCTACAGATACCTAAGTCGAGGTTGATGTTTTAGAGCAGCACTCAGACTGAATAAGTATTCCTTCCTGAAATTGTAGATAACAAGGAAGAAGCAACTGAAGCTGTAGCCTCTCCAGAAGTCTCTCCAAGAAAAGATGGTATTTACTTTCCCACAAAACAGGAAGATTCAGATGATTCGAACATGTCAGGATCAGACAACGTCAGGATGAGACAACGAACACCAAGGGGAAATAAAAGGCCTAAGTATATTATATTTAAACAAGAGCTATTTAAATTCTTTAGGTATTGTCCTGAGTGTGGCGCAGCTGTGATTAAGAGGAACCAATCCACACAAGGAAGCCAACCGTATGTCACCTTAGAATGCATGAATAATCATGCGTACTCCTGGCAAAGCCAGCTAATGCTTGAGGGGATGGCAGCTGGAAATTTATTGCTGTCATCATCTATTTTGGTCAGTGGCTCTACCTTTACAAAGGTAGCATCTTTGGCAGATAACCTTAATTTGAAATTTTTCTGTGAGAAAACATTTTATAATGTTCAACACAAGTACTTATAACCCGTAATCAATGAGTTCTGGCTTAAAGAACAAAATTCTACTTTTTCTGAGCTTGTGGGGCGAGATTTGTGGCTTTCAGGGGATGGGCACTGTGACAGTCCTGGCCATAATGCAAAATACAGGACATATGCCATGATTGATCAGAAAAACTGATAAAATCGTTGGCTTCAAGGTTGTTCAGGTCAGTAACTCTTTCAGCCCCACGATCTCATTAGTTTTTCTCCTTACTGCTCGTAATTGGAGAATTAAGTATTGGATCAGCTAATAATCCTATAATTGATATTTTTCTTTATACTCATCACTTGCTTGCTCAATATTGTGAGGAGAAATTCTGCCTTGGTCACTCATAGGAGTAAACGGGTTATCAAGATCCTCACCTCACTGTCAAATTTTTCCATGACTTTATCGAGCTTGATGCTTACCACCCTGTGATTGCAAAAAAACAAGTCGTTCTTACTACGTAAGGTATCACTAAATCACTTATTCAGTTTCCTACATATTGTGCTGACTTAACTTTTTCAATATTACTGAAATATAAAAATATTCATGACTCAATCAAAGAAAAACATCTGACAAGTCATCAACTCATTGGAGACCTTGCACAATAGAATTATGATTATTGACAATCTCCATTTGACATTCAACCACTTTTGCTGACGAAGCATGGCATGCAAATGCTGGAATATGTGTTCCCTTACTGTCGTTAAATTTGTGGACTTGTATGTAGAAGATCATGATCATCTTCAACATCCTTGGATCACCAAGGGTGTATAAAGAAGATGTAAACATTTTCTCGATCCTGAGGTAACCCTAAGTGGTTCTCGTTAGTTAGTTAGTCAGTTAGTTGGTTAGGTGTTCTGACCTGTAATTATGATCCAGCTCATCCTTAGCTTGCATTTCCAGTGAAACCTGCACTTCCAAATCTCTGATTCTGCAGTTAGCTGCTTCGAGCTGCTTAATTAAAATGTAAGAGAAGTTCATAAAAGTTGCAGCAAGCCACAATTAGAAAGTATTACTCATGAACTAACTATTATTTGCAGGCATTTATCATGGTGATGCCCCAGTCAATGTCAAGAAAGAAAAAATACCTTGAAAGAGAATTACCTTTGAGCGACTGTCATTCCCACCACCACTAGAACTATTTCCATCCTGAGGAAGTGAAGAAAAATTAATTTACCTCGTCATATTAGGATGGTAAATGAAACGAAAATTGAAGGCAGAGAGAGAAAGTGTCTTTTTATCATCCTCACCATTCCGTCTAAACCTGATTTGCCATGGAAGTTACCCCATCTAAAAGAAATTGAAATTCAGTGAATTAGTGAGAATAAGCACTGCTTGGTACTCCTATCACTGTTCAACTGTGCATTAGATTAAGCACATCAGGACATGAGACTAGTAAATCAAACAGACAAACATAATCAAAATCTGTAAGTCATAATTGCCCACATAAATTGGACACGAATTTTTTCTACATTCTGCAAATACAGACTGTACAGACTTCACTTACTTAGCACTCTCCGAATAACTGAATCCTATGAAAGGAAGATGATTCCCTACAAAAGCCTGCCAAATAATTTCACACACGACAAAATTGAGTATACTAAAAAGGCCTTTTACTCCTTTCACTTGATCTATCCCTGTATCTATATTTAGATGAGAAAAATATCCCTGTTCTGTCTTGATTCTAATGATACACTTGGCCGAAAAAGCACTGTTTCAATTATCATACCTCAATTTCAAAAGTTATACCCAATTATATCTGAGTGGAGTTGCCCTGAACGAGCTAAGTAATATCTTGTATTAACAATTTTTAATTTTCAATGCTGAAAGACACCTAACTTTTAAAATTACTAGAAAAAATAAGTACACTAGCCCCTAATGACATCATTGAATTAAATGGATATAGAATGGCTGCAACAGTGTCAATGCTGCATTACAGTTAAGCTGATACTGTTATTTCACCTGACTTAATAGAAACTAAAGAGTACCTCTGGAGGTTGAAGGAATTCCTTTCCACTATTAGGATCAGAAATGTCATCAAAGTTTGAGTAATCATCATCACTAGCCAACTCTGGGACCACAGGAGGAGTAGCTGTGCAAAATAAACAATAATATGATGAGCTGAACTATACAAGCATTTTGATTGGTTCTTGCTTATGATCTATTGGAGGACAGGTGCATAGATGATGTCACTAAGAAAAACACACTATTTAAAACAAACAGATTGCATGTTGATTTCGGGTAACACAGTTACAGATCACAGAATATCTTTCCAACCCATCCTTGACCTATTACTAAACAGACGTTGGGCTATGTAGACTCACAACCACAAAATGGAACAAAATTCAATGCCGAATGGACATGGTTTTAATTGCAGTCATAAAAGAAGGTAATAATGTTCAACAGAACTGCTCTGCAGCTCAAGAGATAGGCCTCAAGTACCCCTATTATCGGTAAGTGCAACATGCACAGATGACATTAAAACTACTAGTTTTTGAGAGGTTTTCCTTTTAATAGGGTGGGGGAAGAGGGAAGCTTTTTGAAATTTGAAGTTAGAGACTAGTAACTTAAATAATGAAAAGGGAGATCATTAGATTCTTTATGGCAAGAGCATTAATTAATATACTGAGTTTAAATCAGATATTCATCAAAAATTAGTCTGCAATAATTACCCTCTCTGATGGTGTCCCATTCCCACTGGTCATTAATGAAAAATTTATGGTTTTGTATTTCTGCAATTCCTTCCTGACCAATTCTTTGCGTTCTACAAATAATTCACACATGGGTTAAGAATCATTTTTTATTGAAACAACCTTAAAATCAAACTGTCTGGCAATAAAACTCCTTTGAAGAAAACAAGGTGCGATAAAATCAGCCACATCATTTGATGTGATTTATAAAATTGTGGTTAGCTGCTGTTTGACTAAAGGAATTGTAGCTCCAAAGAAAATCTAGTTGCAGTGAATTTTGATTTTTGAGGTTGCACAGCAAGGAAAATGACATGCAGTAATACTCCATACATACTGGCATAGTTTTAATCATGTGTGGTCACATTGGTTTCCATTGCAAGAAAAACACGAATAGCACACCTGATTCCATTGGTTGGGATGTTGGAACTGTCCCCCTTACAATGCCATCACGTTTCCTTACTAAATTTACTGGTACACATCTATACTCCTGAGTGAATAGGGGGGTGGGCCACCGTGCGAATGTGACAATAAGACCTTGGTGAGGGCCCTAACCCACACTTTTCAACCTAAGGACAAGCCCCCTAAGTGTTACAGCCACTGTATCTCCCATACCCAGAAGAGTATTTCCCTGTCAACCTGAGAGCTAAGAGATGTTTGTAACAAGGAATTCCTTGTGTCTTAATGGAATGGATATCTTCCAGAAACTTAAGCAAACTGGTTACCTGTCAGTAAGAAAACTACGAAGTAAATGCTTGGCTTCTTTTGAAATTTCAATGTCATCAGGAAACTGAAGTGAGTTCTTATGATCCATGATCTTTCCTAAAGAAATTAATAAAAATAGTTCAAGCAGACCTGTAGAAAAGAAATTACCTGGAGTTACAGATGTATCTTAATTAAACTAAGATCACACAAATGAGAAAAGAAAGGAAACTTTGCACTTCATAATTCTTTGAATGTTTATATCATTTGTGGATAAAATGAAAAAAACCCGTAAAGTAAAGATCAGGTGTGGTTACCTTAGTTTGTTGTAAATGAACATTTTTAAGTTAGTGCCATCTCCAAATAAGTTCTTCTGCTGAGTAAGCACCACTCTGACTAGTCTAAAACTTTAAAAGTGTTTTCCACGCAAATATGGTAGAGATTTACATTTTCACTGTAATGGCCTTGTTAATAACTTTGATTCTTGGATGGTTCCAAGATCGTTTTCTATGTTTCTTCCAGTGAGCACAGGATGGAGGTTAGAGTCAGTGACAAAAGACCTTCCAAAATCCAAGCTATATTGTGATGGGTTTCAAGGAAAGGTTCATAAATTGAGGTTCATGTTTATTTGTTACACGTAAGGTGAGAACAAGAGGAATGTTTCAATATCCCTGGTATGGGAAAACAGTTTCAGGGGCCCAGATCTATGACATTAAACCCTCATTTGCAACGTTGGCATTGCCAACAACTGCACAACAAAATTTGCATACCGTGGGTTTCTACAATTGAGTCAGCATCAAACGGAGTGTCACCTAGAGTTTTTACAAAAAGAGATACAACTGTTGACATCTATTGAAGGTATTGGATTTAACAACAATTGAAAGTGTCTACAACCAATGTAAGCTGTTCATGGGATTAGCTGACAATAGAATTTTTAAAAGAGTTTTCAAAATGTGACATCTCTGCTGTCAGCACAGCCCTTGCAAAATGGATTTTGGAATTCCTAGGAATAAGAGGTGTGAATTCTAACAGTAAATTTGGACTGGGAAGTCCTAAGAATTCCCAACTGTGTCAACCCCGATTCTAAAAAACCTAGAAATTTCCAGAAATTCCAGGATAATAGCCAACAGGACTTCACATTCCTAAAGGAATTCCTAGCAATTCCAACTCAGTGCACCAGTGACTTTCTCTGAAAGGTTGTAAATCTAAAATTAAAATTGCAAGAGAGCTGTTATGAGGGCATAAGCAATTAAATTCTTTACACCTAAATACTTATAAAAGTATAGAAAACTCACCAATCAGTAACTCATATAAGGACACCCCTACACCCCACCAGTCACATTCACGGCCATGGTAGCCTCCACCATCTTGGGATGTGAGAACCTAGTGTAAAAATAGCCCTCATTTTTTTAATTTGGACTTGATTTGAAATCTGCAATCTTGTTTGCAATCTTTCTTACCTCTGGAGAGATGTAATCTGGTGTACCAACAACTGTGTCTGATCTAACCTTACCATCCTACAAGATAATTTTCAAAGTTTGACTAGCGTTTTAAAGAAATTGGCTAGCTGATATGCTCAGCAGTTGTTTGAGAGAAAATGAAGAATCAATTCCTGAAATCAAATCTCCTTTGGAATTCATTAAACAAGTGAAAAAAAATTTAACTGGGTTGATTCACAAAATGAATAAATCTAATGACTCCTTTCTACAGAGAACATTAAGGCTGACTCTTGATATACTGTAATTTAAGAAGGAAAAAAATCCCTGTGGATTGCAAAAAATATATTTTTTAGAGAACATACAAGAGCAGAGCAAGCTCCCCGGCTCAGTTATAAGCTTGTAACTCTGATGCTGGCTGCTGACATCATCAATGCGGGCACCTACTTTGAAACTCTCTATTACCCTAAGGAAGTCGAAATGAAGTGCTAGTAATTTGTACCTTATCCATTCTCAAACACGTTCCAAAACCTGAAAGCTTGAGATGACCTTGTTTATCCAGAAGCATGTTTTTTGGTTTTACATCCCTGCATGAGAATAAAAACATAAAAAAATCACATTTCAGAAAAATAAGCTAAAAGTCATGGCAGAGGATTTCCACCATTCAAGCACTAATGTGAAAAAAGAAAAAAAATAAGAGGAATCAGAATCAAAATGTCTATGTCAAGTTAAAGACAGGATCATGCATCCTCCTTCCCATTTTTTAAAAAAATTAAGGTAATCACAACATCAAGATTTAAGCTGATTCATCAAATCAAGTTATTTATAGTGTAACAATCATGAAAATTTTGACACTGAGCAACAATCCTACCAAATGATCAAACCTGATCCTCACAATACCTGTGAATAAACCCCATGCTGTGAAAAGCATCAAGAGCTAACACCATTTCAGCACCATAGAACTTGGCCCACTTTTCAGGAATGTTGTAGTTACTCATAACATTCACCAAATCCCCTCCTACAACGACAGCAAATTTTCCAATTATATATTCTTCATTGGACAGTGTAATTTTTTCCTTTTTTGAATTTCAAAACCAATGCCACAAAATTCACCATTACTGAAACAAGCCTGCATGCCCACTAAAATTGCTTAAACTCTTATACTCCTAAGATCTTAAATCATTAATTCTCACTATAAGTTGTATTAAACCTCTCTATAAATTAGTTTATAGAATATGGTGCTACTAACACCTAATACAGCATTTTGCTGAGTAAAATGGAGACTTGAGCATTTCACCAATCTAATTTCTTTGAAAGAAGTCTCTCATTCATCAAATTTGATGAAATTTTCTTTCATAGACACTAGAAATTCTCACATTGACACCATAGATGTACACTTATTCAGGAACCACCCACTCTATTTATAACATTAACAGTATGTTTCATTCACCGGCCATGTAATCCATAACCATATATAAATTTTTAGCATCTTGAAAAGCAAAATGTAACTAAAAAGAAAAAAAAAGAAAACATAAGTTCATAAATCTTCAAAATAAAATATTTGGGTTATCTATCTTTAACACAACCACCCTAAAAATTATGGTATTGTAATGGGGGAGAGGGCGGAGATGGAGCAAAGGGAGGGGAGCAAAGGGAGGGGAGCAAAGGGAG